CATAAATCAGTTAAATGACGAAAAATTGGGTGTCTATTTACTTGTGACCACTCAATATATATATATATACTTCCAAATATTAATTTACTATAGTGTAAGTATTAGAAACGGTTACTACATATCCAGGATTTTATTTGCTACCTGGAAGTGTGCTAAGACTACTAGAATATTATCAATGAGAATGAAGAAAATATTCAGAGCCCCCTTATGCATTTTATCAGAAATGGAGGAATTATCTTTATAGGCTTAAGATACGAAATATAATAACTCAAAATTATGAGAAAATGTAGTTACAGTTTTAATACAGTAGTGAGCAACAAATAACAATCATTGCTCAGCAAGTGTTGAATTGATCTTCGAAACGGGACTATTGATCATTTTATTTTTTAGGATTAAGACTTATGGGGTTTATGGCTGAGACTGATTAAATTTAAAAAAAATCACAGAGCAAAAATCAAAAGTGTGTTTATCATATTTACAGTGTTGCTTGTAAGATGCGCACTTTGCGTATTTACGCTATTTTGATTGACACGGGCGCAAAATAATCGTTTGCCTGCGTACTACCTCACGAAAAGAAAGAAAAAAGAAGTACGCATTTTAACTTTTAGTGTGCGCGCGCACTTCGAAATATATTACGAATGACTTCGTAACGCTTGATCGCGATCGTAACCGGAAATTTCCGAACAGTAATTAACTCATCTAGATATGCAAAGAACTGTGATTGGCTGCGTTATGACGTCATTTTGTTTTGTGGGAGATTTCCTTGTTATTATGGTATATCGATGATTGAAAATGACGGAAAAAACGAAAGGTACGAAGTCGTTCAAGAAGCGGTTAATTAAAAAAATAATTACTACGTTCTGCCATCAAAACTATGTAAAAATTACTCTCGAAGGGCCCACTTATGAAACGTCCTAGAAGAAGCAACACTATGTGTATATATATATATATATATAGACACACGTTTGACGTTAATTCTGTCAGATAGTAATATTTATCACGGAAAATATTTTGTAGATAATACAGTTTAAATTTTGTCATAAAAATTACTAATAATTTTATTACAGTTAGTTTTTCATCCTTGAAATAAAAACAAACTAAAATAGTGAGTAGAATTGTGTGAACCACACTTTTTTTACGTGTGAAGATATTAATGTATAAAATTTTTGCTTAACAGCATCTCAGTATCTGCTGGTTCGACGTTTAGAATTAGTGTTACGTTTTGTCACTGTTTAATTGGATTAGGCGTGGCGTTATAGTTAGTGTACCAGGATGCAGGTTCGAACCGTGACTTGTCGTCGAATACGCTCCAGACTTTCAGTTGTTACAGTAAATCCCGCTATTCGGTTGGAAGTAGTTAGCGGCGGATCTTGCTGACTGTTTGTTCTCCCCTTGTTGTGCAATTCTAACTGACAGATGGCTCTGCCTGTACCTTGTGTACAGAAGCGAATAAAAAAAAAGTTTTTGAACTTTTCGTCATACTGAAATGGAATGTATTATGTAGATTATCGATATTTAAAAATAAAACCCAGTGACTATATTGTAATTAAACGGTTTACACGTTAGAAGTAACATAATTTTGAAGTATTGAGTGTGTTCTACAATGTTTTGTAGTAGCTGATTATCTACACGAGGTTTTACCGTAGATTACAGGCCAGGTGGATAAGGCGCTCGACTCGCAATCTGAGGGTCGCGGGTTCGAATCCCCGTCCC